AATATGATAAATAAGTCTTATATTTAAGACTAAAAATTAATTTAACAATTAGGTTCTTATATTAAGGATTAGAGGAGTATTAGTCAGCTCTCAAAACAAATGAAACGTTTTATTTTTTTTAAGACAGAGAGCTCACAAATATCATGGCTAGTTCCTCACAAAACATAACAAACTCAGGTTTGAATTTCTATTAGAAGAAGCGTTCACATTTCGTGCCCAATAATTTCTCAGAAGGAATGCCTCCAATAGATGGATACTGGTGCTTACCAAACAAAAAACTCTACAAATTCTAGAATATTCCTCAGAATACGTAGATTGGTTATTATATTTCATTGCTTATGTATGCTTACACGATCAATCATCCATATCCACAACTACTACATGATGAACCCAGCTATATCAGATTGAGACTACTCCTTCGTCTTCCTCCTTATCTTTTCCTCATTCCAACTAACTCCATCCACTTTTTCATTCATTCACTGTTGCTCGTTCACTTGCTCGTGATCTTCAACTTTTCGTTTGTGGACGAAACCCGGACCCTCATTATATTTAAGCCCTATCTTCTAATAATTAATTACCTTTACCACCAACCCACCAGGCCTTCCAGCATGTGAATACCCTTATCAACTTGTATTACTGCTAAGGTGGTAAAGTGATGACACTGCCTTTTCTTAGTAACGGCTCCAAAACTTGCACGTTAAACACAAATAATGCAACTTACTTATTTAATGTTCATCAGCCACAAATATAAAGTTAAAAAGCTGAACCCCATGTCGCTGCTTCTTCATAAATGGCTTCTCAAAAGTTCTATCAAGTTCACGACTTGAGAAAACTGACATCTCAGCTCCCATCATCCATACAATCTCCTATAAATATTGTACGATTCAGACTGTAACTTGTCATCTATATTTATCCTCGAAAACCCGTTCAGCAGATCATCAAAAAATTTAGTCTTTATTACCTCGTACTTCGTTTGTCTGCAGAACTACTATATGGCACCCTGCAACATGTCCAAGTCCAGCAACAACCTTCAAAGAACGGTGTCGGACATATCCTACGAGATCTGCAAGGAAGAAATCCAAGATCAGAAGGCACTGCCACCAATATCAGAGGTTGAAGACGCCAAGTGTGAGTGCTGTGGGATGAGCGAGGAGTTCACGACGGAGTACATAGAGCGCGTGAGGGACAAGTACTTGGGGAAGTGGGTGTGTGGGCTGTGTGCTGAGGCAGTGAAGGAAGAGCTGGAGAAGAATGGAGGGAGGAAAGAGGAAGCCCTAAACGCACACATAAGCGCGTGTGTTAAGTTCAACAAGTATGGAAGGGCTTTTCCTGTTCTGGTTCAAGCTCAAGCCATGAAGGAGATGCTGAAGAAGAGCAATAAGCTTGATGGAAGAAGAGTCAGGTCCTTTAACCCCAGAGACAGCAATAATGATAACAAGAAAGGAGGCCTTGCAAGGAGTTCAAGTTGCATCCCTCAGCTTAATTTCTCTTGAGGGATAATGATTCTCCTTCTTCTGCTGCTGATATATATATATATATATATATATATATTTATATCTTCTTCTGGCGCTAATTATTCTGCTCAAATTCTTACATGCTATATATATGTGTGCGTGTACAATCAGAATTTTTGATCCGCATCTGAAACTCACATGTCAGATACAATCAAAACTAAGTTCTGATTATTGCATGGACTTGTATTATATATGGTATTTGAGAACTAGGGCAATGAACTTCATCTCTCTGACTCTGTGTTAGATGAAAAAATTCTCGTATTATCACTGGAACTGCCCAAAGGTGACATGGCAGTTTTTCGTTGAAATATATACATACAGACACAATTGTATGTATATATAATCTCGTTATTTGTGTCTTGAACTGCTGCTTATGACCTGTATTTTTTTTCGGAGAAGCAGCTTGTATTTGTCACGGGAGAGGCCTGATGAGTTGTACCTTTGTGAGGTTTTTTTTCTCATATATAGGTTTCTCCTGAGTATTATAACCTATTACATAATCATCTTGGAGTTTTTTTTTCCCCTTGGAGAAGAAGAAATTCTTTTTCTCGTTCTTATTTATCTCTCTTCTGATGTTTTTGGTCAGATATATATGGCTTTATTTAGTAGCTTTGTCTTTTGCTGAATAAAATAAGGTTGGTTTTTGATATTTGCATGTTGTAATATATATCTGTGTTGCTTATCGATTGGAAATACAAGTAGTAGAAGTTAAAGTTAAAAAATTCATAAGAAATGAGTGCAAGTCCGTAATTAAGGCGTCGTTTGATTCTATTTTCTGTTTTTTATATCCTTAGAATACCTTTATCAAATTGTTTTCTAAAATAAGCTTTGAAAAGAAAAAAAATTAAAAAAAAATTTCTGTTGGATAATGGTTCTAAAACCTACAATTGAAGAATTAAGAGAAGGTGAAAGACAGAGTGTAGAGGGCGACGATGAGGAGCGGAGGGAATAAGAGGAATAAAGTGGGCACAAGAGCCAAAGTAAAGAGGCAACCGCGAGCGAGTAGGGGATTAGAAAAGATAACAACACCAAAAAAAAAAAGTAAAAAGAAAAACATGTAAAAACTGTTTTGATTTTTTTATTTTTAAAAGCATATTTATATTTTTTTTAAAATACTTAATTAAAAATTAATAATCAAACAAGTATTTTTTATTTTTAAAAACAAAAAACTTGTTCTAAAACAAGGAAATGAATATGGCCTAAAAGTGAGGAATTGTACAACTGAAAATGAAGGGAAAGTTTATCTCACTTCAGCGATTTTGATTAGATAGCTGTAAAGAAAAAAAAAAAAGAAGTTCTTTTAATTACTCCTCCGGTCTACTATAAGGGTCTTATATTAGGACCGGAGGAGTAGCTTTTTCCACACGTCGCTGTGCAATTAATTACCCAACCGTGTGAATCCTAGCAGATCTATGGACACGATTAACATGTGAATTTTATTGATATCATGTGATTAACAGTGAAAAATATTTTTACTAAATATATTGAGCTGATGTGAGTTAAAGTACTTTATAATTAAAAATATAAACATTATTTTATCCGTAAAAACTAAAAACAAAAACAAAAACTCCACTTATTGGCTAATGGAATGCCAAGGCCAATACCAAGATCACATGAGAGTTGTGATTAGAGGTTAGAAAAGCACCCAGTCTCCTAATCAGTGTGGTTTCGTTTCAGGAAGACACAGCTCTGATGATATAGTTGTGGCACACGAAGTGATGCACTTCATGTGCACAATGGAGGGAAAAAGGGGTATATAGCAATAAAGACAGATATAGAGAAGGCGTGTGATAGAGTAAATTGGAACTTTGCGAGAAGCTGCTCGGCAGAACTTAACATCCCTGACACTCTTATTAAAGTTGTTGACAATTGCATCAGAACGGCAAGCTTGCAATTACTTTGGAACTGATGCAAAGCGGACATCTTTCATCTTCGCGAGGGGTGCAGCAAAGTGATCCCATGTGGCCTTATCTCTTTGGTTCCGTCCGGTATGAAGCATTAAAAATAAGAGATAGGAATTAAGATTGTACTCCTCCGGTCCTTAATATAGGACCCAATTTTTAAGTTGGTTTTGGTCTTAAATGTAAGACCCATTTCTCATATTTATCAATTTTCTCTAAATTACCCCTATGGATACTCCCTCAATCATAATCAAGTAGAAGAGGGAGAGGGGTATTAAAAAAGATGATTATGGTGTTTTAGGAAAAATGTGTCACTTTTCTTGTAATTAACTAACTTACCTAACTTCCTTAATCTAATCAAATTGTTAAATGGGTCTTATATTAAGGACCGGAGGAGTAATTGAAAAAATCATTATAATAATTTTTCATATGAGTAATTTCTTATTATATGGGATTAGATAAACTCTTAGAGGTGGGCTTGGGAAATATCATTTCCTCCATGGTGTTCCCCAATGCCACACACACAGATTTGGTTAATCCTATATATCAAGTAATCTCTTATACTAAAAACTCTTTAAATAAATTATTTTCAATTTTAATCTCAATTTCTATCCCTAATTTTCAATACTTCTTAACAAACAGGACCTTTGTTATTTGTATAAAAAAACTAGCTCGCCTCATTCAAGAGAAAATGGCTACTAGTGAATGGCACCCGATCCGTCTCACCTGAACAGGAGCGCCTATTTCTCACTTATTCTTCGCAGATGACATTTTGCTTTTTGCAAGGCTTCAATAAGGCAGGCTGCACTCATGAAAGACTGTTTAGACACATTCTGCCACAGTTATGGTCTCAAAGTTAGTGACACAGACAATAGTTCTATTCCCCACCAATGTCAATCATACACGACGTGAAGAGCTGAGCTCTATCTTGGGTTTCACGACTACTGCTGATTTGGAAAAGTATCTTGGGGTCCCTCTACATAACTAGCATATTAACAAGAAAGTTTCAATGATAGCACTGCTAATATCAAGAGTCGCCTCACACGATGGAAGACTACCTCGATGTCACTGGCTGGGAGAGCTACACTTATTGCCTCGGTTACCTGTTATGTGATGCAAACTTCTTCCCTTCCTGTTCATTCTTGTGAGGTATTGGATAAATGTAATCGGACCTTCTTTTTTTTTGGGGGGGGGTTTCTATATAACCAAAGAAAGATTCCTCTAGCTGCTTGGGAGGTGGTTTGTAAAGACAAGAATAGAGGGGGACTTGGCATGCGGCATGCACGGCTACAAAACCAATTGCTGCTTATGAAGTTGGGATAGAAATTGGTGAAAAACCGAGACGATTTCTGGGCTAAAGTAATGGGGGATAAGTACAAATGCGGTGATGAACTTTTGCCAAGAATAGATACGGCAAGACAAGGGTCAAACGTATGGAAAGGTATCAGAGAGAGACTTGGGCAAAGGTGAGCTCCGGGATAGAATGCAGCACAGATGGTAGTAGACTGCATTGGATACGGGAACGACATGGAAACTTCTCAGTCAAATCGGCCTACACGATGCTGTCCAGTAGGGACACAGAGTATAATGCTGACTAGGAAAAGCTTTGGAGAATCTGTGTTCCGTAACGGTGCCGGACTTTCATTTGGCTAGTTGCACACCAAAGCTTACTCACTAACTTCGCACCTCACAAACTAGGACTTAGTGAATCCGTGCTATGTCATATATGTGGCCGAGGACAGGAAGAGCTGTCCTATGTGTTACGTGACTGCAGTTATACAAAAGCCTTGTGGCGTAAGCTGGTTCATCCAGCATAGTGGAGACGCTTTGCAACTATGAACCTCCAGGAGTGGCTATGGTGGAACTTAGTGGCAACTTTCCAGATAATTGGACTAGTTTCTTAAACATCATCTGTTATTGGTTGCGGCGGAGGAGGAACCTTTATACTTTTGAAGACAAACATATCGCAAACGGAGCGGTGATTTCTAGTGCCAAGGCTTTGACAGATATTATGCAGCAGACTCGGAGGGACATAGCTGGCACTACCTTATAAGGAGCCACCCCTGCATGTACCTCGGCTACCTGGAGATCGCCGCCAGATGGATGGATCAAGATAAATACGGATGGGGCCTTCTCTTATACGAGCAGCTCGAGCGCTTGTGGTGGCCTCCTCCAAGACAAGGATGGGCAGTTCTCACAGGTATTGATCTACTGACTAGCAGATGGTGATGCGCTAACGGCGGAGCTTTGGGGGTGCCTACATGGGCTTAGGATGGCCTGGGATGCAGGATACGTAACGTACAGAAGAGTGACTCTAGAGACGGACTCGACCAAGGCCATTGAATTGATTGTGGATATGGAGGGGGAAAGCCATGCCGATTATGATCTGCTGTGTGAGATTAGATCGGTGCTAAGCAGAAATTGGGAGACTACCATTTGCTACGTGCAGTGTAGCAACAATTCCCCTGCCGACTTCCTTGCTTGGAGTGGTCTGGACTCTTTGCATGGCTTCCATGCTATTTCTCAACCTCCTGAGACTCTAATGCGTTAATACCGCTATTTATGGGCAGGATGATGTTTAATTGAGGCTTCCTTTGATATCAAAAAGAACAGCACCCAGCCATGTGAGAGTTATGGGACACAAATAATTATATAAAGTCATTTATTGCTCCTAATTTATAACTAATACTACTATAACTTTTTCGGTGTAAATAAATAATATAAAATTTTTTTAATTGAAAGAAGGTATAACTATTCGGCTCAAAAAAAAAAAACAAAGAAGGTGTAACTAATTTGGATATATTTAAAAAAATAGTTAAGTTAGTTTTTTTTTTAAAAAAATACAGGGTTATAAGCCTAATTTAGTTAAGTTAGTTATTTATAATAATAAATATGAGTTGATTTTTTTAATTATATGTATTGAAATTATCTCTTAATAGAAAATTTTTACTATCAATATGAATAATTTTTAAAAAAATTACAAAATTTTAAATTTATAATGGCACTAAAGGGTTTAAAAAATTAAAAGAAGGTACTAACCGGAGGTTATGGACCCGCAGGTTATTGTACTGTAGGGAAGGGTAGGTTGAAGGTGTAAGGAATTGAAAGACACGTAGCGGAAAATAAATTTAAAATTTTCCAATTCCTTGCCCGGATTTACTGATTGTGTTTAAGTCAAGTGGTAAGAGGTGTTACCTGCGGTATTCGAATCGTTGGTGGCTCGAGGATTCCGACGTTCGGGATGCCTATGCTCTCCTTTTGTTTGTGAGAAGTCGACAACTCAGATCGGCTTCCTCTACCGGTATCTACACGAACAACTTTCAATCACGAACGACGTGCTAGCGCCTCTTGTCCTTCTAGGGTTTTTTTTTTTAGAATCCGTCCTCATCGCCTCTCTTTTGGCCGTTTCTTATCTACAAACCTTTTGCACTCTCATCCGCACAAAACCCTAGCTCCTAATATCAAATATATAGGATGTCATCTGTATTATGAAGGACATTGGATTTTGGAATTAATCCTAAATTAATTCCAAAATTAATACAATATCATATATTGCGTAATTTGATAAGAAATCAATTAAATAAATACGGTTTGTATATTAAATCCGTCCTACAGATTTAATTCACCTATTCATTTAATTCAAAATAAAGATATGATGGAATTATATTTGATTTATTCTAATAAATCAAATTTGAGATATTATACCTTATCAATTTTAAAAAAATGATATAGATTTAATTTATCCTTATAAATCAAATCTTATAAATATCTCTTATATCATATAATATATATACACGGATTTATATATATATACACGTCCACCCTAGATTATTCATTGAATCTGGACATATCTTAGATTCAATGAATCTGGATATCATAGCTCGTGTTGGGCTATTTTGTGTGCGACCCTGTAGGCCCATATGAAGTTGGCAATGGGCCATTTACTATAATGACTCACAAGTCGTAAGCGGTCTCTAGCAAGACATCACGACTACCCAAATCATATGAGGATCGATAAATGATGTAACCTTTCATACAACCATATCACGTCCTTTTTGTCACACGACATTTTGGTCATGGATGAGGCATGGAGAACATCATCCTCCTATTCTTGACCGTTACTTTCTCGATCCCTGAGTAGTCTGAGTATAGAAATGGAACTACCTTTCCATTATAGTATGGCCATACATTTCTCAAACTCACTTATCGAGGGGCCCAGTAATATCTCTCTATGAATGTGAGGGACAAATTCCATCTTGACCATTCACATTCCTCCATATGAAAAACCACTAAGCCTGAACATAGTCTTTATGATCACTCGGTCAAAAGTGACTTTTAACTAGGTCAAAGCTGAGCGTTTCTCATGTAGGAATCTATGATGATCTCAGGTCAAAGGGCATAGTGACATGGTTTGTATATGAGATAAGCTTATGACTTAACCCATACAGCTCTCTCATAGCGGGTCGGTCCAACACGTTGTACTCTTACATGTGCCTATGACTTTGATTTATATCTCATACATCTTCAAAGTCATACTGGTCTTATTTCATCTCTGCTCCCACATAGATGACCGACCAGGGACATTTAGGATAAAATCATGAGTTATCCAAGGATAGTCATCACAATAAACATGCAAATAATATGATAACATAATTAAGAAATTCATAGATCAACAATGTTCATAACACAATGATTGGTCCCTAGGGCACAATTTCCAAAAGAAGGATGCAACAAAACCTATACCACTAAGCTTTCTTTCTTCACCCACCTTCTAATAAGCCTCCTTTTCTGCATTACAAATACATATGCGCCCTTCCGCTATCCTCTTCAATTCATCTCTTCCTCTCTCTCTCTCTAGACCTGTACACAGAGAAATGGAAAGCAATTTTCCTGCAATATCAAAGAGAGTGTGGAGCACAGTGCGCATCCTTTTCTTCATGCTCCCAAAATGCTTCGCCAAAGGAAAACTCCTGATGGAACTCAACCTCATGCTCAAACGCCCCGGCAAGCTGGCCGGAAAAGCCATCGCCAACTTCATCTCCCACCACCATCATCACTGCCACCATGGCACCTCCGCCGCCTCCCACGACGCCCATTTGAGATTCTCCACGGCACTCGAGTACGAGTTCAGCTGCCGCAAGACTCCCAACTACGGCTTCTTCTCCAAACATCATCTCCGTCGCTTCTTCGCCTGTGCTCACGTGCCACTCACACTAGACGACGATGATGCGGCGGCTGTTAATAATGCGCTTAAGGTGGCGCTGGAGATGGTCAGTGACAAAAAACGTATGGATGGGGTGGAGGCGCGCTGGCACTTCCTGGGTTTGGCTGCACCCCGGCAGCGAGACAGCTGAGGGTGACAGACTCTCCATTTCCGCTGCAAGACGGCAACGACATCGAGGACCACCAGGTTGACAAGGCGGCGGATGAGTTCATAGAGAGGTTCCTTGGGGAGTTAAGGAAGCAGCGGGGCTGAGCAATTTTGGATGTGTTAAACGTTAATTATGATTAATTAACCGTAAGATTATAACATCAAAGCCAATTTGGGTATATGTTTCTGATAATCATCCCAACCTCAGTTTTCAGCTTTTGTGGGTTGGGGATTTTGGTTTCGAACTTGTTATTTCAGACATATATCATTTGTACTTTCAATTGTTATGGTTTACGATAATAAATTAATACTACCTCCACCTCTAAATATAAAACCTAATTAAATAATTTAAGTAGAGTAAGAAAATAACTTAAGTTAGTTATTTGTAGTAAATAAACTTTATTTTTCTTAAAATATCTTTACTAATCAAGTTTATTTCTATACCTATCATTATTAGAAGAACTATCTTGGAAAAAATAGATAAATATAAGAGAGAAAATGGATTAGAGTTTAATATTTAGAACCAAAATAAAAATCAAACAAGATTTTATATTAAGAATCGAAGGTAGTAATTACATAATAATGGGCTATAATCTTTTTTGGGAAAAAAATCATTCTCGTTGTTAATGCCACAATTCTTTTTCTCACTTTTTCGAATATATGAACTCAATATTCAACTCTTTTTAATTCTTATGTCACACTGCATGAATAATAGAGCCTTAATAAGTGGAAAGGATACACACACACACACACGAGCTTTTAGTTCTTTGGTTATTATATTTTCCATTCTTCTAACGTTACAGAAGTCTTATAACAAAAGGCTCTAAGGATTTACGAAACTATATTGCCCTCATGTAATAAGTTTAAATAGAATTAACCCAGCAAGTCATCTGAGGTTAATTTGAGTGATAATAAGACTAATTATATATATTAATTCCATTTTATGAATTTGCAAAAACCAAAAAGAATTTCTTGAAATAGTATTTTGGTAATTTGACAGGCAAGAGGACCACTATTTGCACTAACTTGGGCACTAACATCTCAGAGAGAAACCATTGGCTGCTCTCTCTTCAAAATTATTGTTGCCCCCTCATTTGCTTTCTGCATTTGCCTCTGCTTTACTCTGTTTTTGCTTTTATTACTATTCTTTCTTCATTTTAATTTTATGACTTTTTTCAAGCACCACTTTCTCCTTGCAATTAGCTAGCTATCAGACAAAAGTCTCTCCATATATGAAGATCCACTTACAAGTACTAGTAGCATAATACGTGCTTGGGATGATGTACCGAATTAGTAGACGAAGTGGGAAGGGTCAAAACGAATTTATTTTTAATTTGTCATAATTAAACTCTTCAAGTTTGAAAACATTTTCAATAAATATATTTTACCAACTTACAATTACCCAGATTGACTGGTTGGGTCAATGCTTCGTTGTAAAATCAACTTCTTTAGTTTTGTCACGAAATCTTACTCTACAGAAGACAATCATTTGCAGAAACAATGACTTTATTTTGACCCTACGTACCATCGATGGTAAGAAAACCTCTATATTACACACACACACAACAACAACAACAACAACAAAAAGACACGATCGTACATATGATCATAAAAATACTCCTCAGGTTCCTAATTACTTAGCTACTAATTTGAATATATTAAGAAACTAAATAAATTATTTAATTATAACAAATATAATATGATCTTCCTAAAATATTCATATGTAATATTAAATCATATATCAATTTATAAGTAAGTTTATAAAGTCACTTATTGTTAACGGTTAACACGTGGAATTTATTGATGTCGTGATATTAATAGTGGAAAATATTTTTGCTAAATATATTGACCTGATGTGAGTTAAAGTACGTTGGTTATTGGTTAAGGAAAAAAAGGATGGTGGGGTTTGCATCTTTATAATTAAAAATATTAACATTGATTATCATGCAAGCTCTTACCTTTATTTTATTGGCAAAAACTGAAAAGACAAACAAGAACTCAACTTATATATTGGCTAATGCTAAAGCCACTGCCAAGGTCAGGTGAGAATTGTGATTAGAGGCTAGAACAGCACTTATGGACCAAATAATTATGTAAAGTCATTTATTGTTCCTAATTTATAAATAATATAACTTTTTGGGTGTAAATAAATAATACTACCTCTCGTTCTTAATATAAGAACTCATTTGACTTTTATTTTGATTCTAAATATACACCAATCCACTTTATTTCTCATATTTATCTATTTTTTCCTAGGATAGTTCTTGTAATAATGGTGGCTCTAGCCAATACATTTAATTAGCAAGGATATTTTAAAAAAGACAATACATATTTATTATAAATGACTAACTTAACTTATTTTCTTAATTTACTCAAATTAGTAAACTAGTTCTTATATTAAGAACTGGAGGTACTATAACTTTCTGTTTAATTGAAAGAACATATAACTAATGTGAATATTTAAGAAAATTAATTAAGTCAATATTTTAAAAAAATACATGGCTATAAGTGTAATTTAGTTAAATTAGTTATTTATAATAAATATGTATTTGTTGGCTTTTCTAAACTGTTTTTTTATACCATGTTTATTGGAATTACCTCTTAGTGGGAGTTTTTTTACACTCAACATGAATATTTTAAAACATTATAAATTTTTAAATTAATAATGGCACTAAATTGAAAGAAGGTACTAACTGAAGGTAGCAACATGGAACCAATTTTTGTACTCATTACTTTGATGAGTACTATAAGCTCATTATATCCGGACCGTCTATATCTTATTTGAACGGTCTAGATTTAAAATTTTTAATTAATTATTTTTAAATAGAAAAAACTACTTTTGGAAAGACTAATAGTTAAGAGATTATCCCTATTTTAAATTTTATACATATTAAATAATTATTTTAAATAAATAAAAATAAAAAAAATCAAATTTAGATCATTCAAATCAGATATGAACGGACTAGATCTAATAAGTTTATGTTTACTTATCATGAGCACCGAAACTGGCCCGCTAGAACACTTATGAACCCACATGCTATTGTACCGGAGGGAAGGGTAGGTTGAAGGGTACAACAAAACCTACACCGCTAAGCTTTCTTTCTTCACCCACCCTCTAATAAGCCTCCTTTTCTGCATTATATATACGTATGTCCTTGCGCTATCCTCTTCAATTCATCTCTTCCCCTGTCACACTTTCTCTCTCTGCACAAGAATCATCCATACCCTCTCTCTCTCTAAACCTGTACACAGAGAAATGGAAAGCAATTTGCCTGCAATATCAAAGAGAGTGTGGAGCACAGTACGCGTCCTCTACTTCATGCTCCGAAAAGGCTTCATCAAAGGAAAACTCCTCATGGAACTCAACCTCATGCTCAAACGCCCCGGCAAGCTGGCCGGAAAAGCCATCGCCAACTTCATCTCCCACCACCATGGCACCTCCGCCGCCTCCCACGACGCCCATTTGCGATTCTCCACCGCACGCGAGTACGAGTTCAGCTGCAGCAACACTCCCAACTACGGCTTCTTCTCCAGACGTCATCCCCGTTGCTTCTTCGCCTGTGCTCACGCGCCGCTCACGCTGGACGACGATGATGTGGTGGCGGTTAATAATGCGCTTAAGGCGGCGTTGGAGATGGTCGATGACGAAAAACGTATGGATGGGGTGGAGGCGTCGCCGGCACTTCCTGGGTTTGGTCGCACCCCGGTGGCGAGACAGGTGAGGGTGACAGACTCTCCATTTCGGGTGCAAGACGGCAACGACTTCGGGGACCACCCGGTTGACAAGGCGGCGGAAGAGTTCATAGAGAGGTTCCACAGGGAGTTAAGGAAGCAGCAGGGCTGAGCAATTTTGGATGTGTTTATTCTGTGTTAATCTTTAATTATGATTAATTAACTGTAAAATTATCACATCAAAGCCAATTTGGATATATGATGTTGATAATCATCCCAACCTCAGTTTTCACCTTTTGTGGGTTGGGGATTTTGGTTTCGAAGTTGTCATTTCAGACATATATCATTTTTACTTTCAATTGTTACGTTTTACGATATAAATATGAATTTTCAATAAATTAATAATTACATAATAATGGGCTGTAATGTTTATATTTTGAAAAAAAAGAAGAAAATCATTCTCGTGGTTAATGTCAGTTCTCTCGCTCACTCACTATATATGAACTCAATATTCAACTCTTTTAATTCTTATGTCACATTACATGAATAATAGAGCCTAAATAAGTGGAAAGGATACACACACGAACACATGAGCTTTTAGTTCTTCGTATTCTAATCTTCTGACGTTACAGAAGTCTTATAACAAAAGGCTCGGAGGATTTATGAAACTATATTGCCCTCGTGTAATAAGTTTAAATAGAATTAATCTAGCAAGTCATCTGAGGTTAATTTGAGTGATAATAAGAATAATTTTTTATATATTTATATTAATTGCATTTTATGAATGCGCAAAAAAAAAAAAAAGAATTTCTTGAAATAGTATTTTGGTTATTTGAAAGGCAAGAGGACCACTATTTGCACTAACTTGGGCACTAACATCTCAAAGAGAAACCATTGGCTGCTCTCTCTTCAAAATTATTGTTGCCCCTCATTTGCTTTCTGTATTTGCCTCTGCTTTACTCTGTTTTTGCTTTTATCACTATTCTTTCTTCATTTTAATTTTTATGACTTTTTCAAGCACCACTTTCTCCTTGCAATTAGCTAGCTATCAGACAAAAGTCTCTCCATATATGAAGATCCACTTACAAATATATAATAGTAGTATACGAGCTTGGGATGATGTTTCACATTTTATGAAGTAGTAAGAGTCAAAACAAATTTATTTTTAATTTGTCACAATTAACCTCTTCAAGTTTAAAAAGATCTTGGATAAATATATTTTACCAACTTACAATTACCCAGATTGGTTGGATTAATGTTTGGTTATAAAATCAACTTCTTTAGTTGGCTTTCACCAAATCTTACTCTGTAGGAGACAATCATTTGCAGAAACAATGACTTTATTTGACCCCACCTGCTATCGATGGTAAGAAAACCAATATATATATATATATATATATGGTAAAAAGAAATTATCATACATATAATCATAAAAATAGTCCTCAGGTTCCTAATTGCTTAACTAATTTGAATATATTAAGATTTATAATGTACATACTCATTTTATGACTTATAATTCTAGAATGCGTGCATGCATACATATTCCAAGCATTTTTGTTCATTTTCTTCCTTTTCCAGTGCTTATTTGAGCACATATACATATACAAACTTACATATATATGTTTGCATGTATAAATTGTAGCTTAGCAATACGGATTAAAATTAAAAATATGATAAATTCCATTGGTCTAACCGCGATGAGTTTATTAATTGATTCTTAACCCATTTTCTGGCCCTCCGATTTTCTTTTAAGACCGAACAGATATTGGACCAGCCTGGTCCAGTTTGTTGAACCGGCTGGTCCAATTCAATTCTCATGACATTGATATTTTTTTTTTGGTAGAAACCAAGTGGTATCCCCTAGCCGATAGCCAGAGACTAATCCTCCCAAGGCGTAGAGATCACCGAAGTGGGTTTTGCCTCTCCCAACAAAGCCTTTTCCATGCACACGGCCTAGTTCGAACCTAGGACATCATGTTTAAGGGACCCAGCCATCTACAAACTGTGCCGGGCTTTGTTGGTTCATGACATTGATATTAATTGAACCTAAACTTTTTTTTTCACATTTTGAAAAAAGTTAATGAACTTAATCAGCTAGTTTATGGTGTGTTTGGAAAATCGTCTCAAGCCCTCAAAATGCAATTTTCTCAAAAGCTCATAAAGAGGTGTGTTTTTAGCCTGGGAAAGACAAGTACTAGTTTAACGTTGGTGTTTTGCTAAGTTTGGGTGTATTGTACATAGACTTACTTGCAAGTTAAGCAGATTAATTAGTAGTTTAATTTTTGTTTAACTAATGTTGAATGGTAGTCATTTTACAAAATAGACTGTTAAGCAAAGCTGTGAGAAAAAGATGGATTGGGGGATCTAATTGTTTCAGAACTTTCCATGTAAATTTTAAAAGTAGCAAGTTTCGGTTAAAGGTTCGGTACTCTGAAAAAAGAAAGCACTGCATTATTTCTTTTGAATCCATCATTGGGCCTTTTTATTTCCACATGCTTCACGTGAAATATTCATTTCAATTACAATTATCACCTGCTGTAAGCTAAATGCCAACTTGTTAAATATTCCCCCTATCCTAAATGTAAAAACCACTTTGTAGTATAAATTACACTATAAAATAAGTTTTACATTTAGAATCGGAAGGGTTTATTGTTATTGTTTATAATTTATGAATATTATTTCTTATATATAAATTTTGTGTTATATTTCAAAAGTTTTTTGTTATCTTTGATGATTATATTATATTATTGTTTTATTTTTCTTGAAAAACAAACAGAACAATTATAAGGGCAGCTTGAACATATGTGAGAATAATCAGAGCTGCCTTCTTAAGGAGAAAGGCAAGGAATTCCTTTCATATGTTTTATTGCTTAGTGCAATACTTAATTATTATAAAAACCTCCTATTGTTGAGCACATGATTTTTCTAATTTTAGCAATCAAGATTCTTCACTCGATTCCTTACATTTTCGTGATAAAGGGAGATACGGAATTGCTTTCCATCTGAGTTGGTATATACCTGTTTAAAACATTATGCACGTATATGTAATAATGATGAAATGTTAAAGTTTATTATGGCCAAACAAATTAAAAGTTAAAGAACTTCAAATTATTTTTTTCCTCTGTACCTTGAAACTGCCAAATAAGAAATCTCTTACTAATAATATTTTTTGTGTATCTCATATGTAATTTATATGAGTTTATGAATACACGAAAAATTTAATTGTTTACATCATGAATAATTAATTTTTGAAGTTGGGGGGTTGGTGTACAGCATATTGTGATGCAATATATAAAATTGACAATAAATCCTTCTTAAATTATAAATGACTTGATAAGTTTTATATTTTAATACTATTTAAAATTTAAAATTATATTTTTTTGACCAAGAAATTTACATTTAGAGGTGCTGCACACTTTCTTATGGAAAAGGATTTTGAATCTCTGCATTGACAAATTAACTATTTTTTATAACAATTAATGTAAATACACACCTTACGCAAACATATCAATATCTAACTCGAATTGAAAACCTCAGTTAAAGAAGACAAGAAACGTTGTCACTGGGACAGCTGGCCATTGTCAGTTATATACACATAAATATGAAATTAGACAACAAAGCTCTTGCTTTGTACAAAGTGTAATGCTGAGCTATACTATTTATAGTTTATCAATAATATAACATCCTAAAAGTTTTATATCGTGTATGGATGCGCACAATGACCAGATTTAGTGACTAATTATGTGTATTAATTGTGGTTTATGAATGCTAAAATAGTATTATGGTTCAAAGTTAATTATAAATTGGATTTCACAGCCAAGAGCAGACCACTATTTGCATTTTGCACTGACTTGGCCCCATATGATTCCACTAACGTATCTCAAAGAGAAACCATTGGCTGCTCTCTCTTCAAAATGTTGTTGCCTTTCTCATTTGCTTAGCCTTCTATATTTTTCTCTCATTAGCTTTTGCTTTATTACTATTTTAATTTTTTAATGAATTTTCCAAGTCTTTATAAGGGCCACTCCTTCCTTGCAAATTAAAGTAACTATCAAACAAAAATCTCCCAAATATTGAAGATCCACTTACAAAGAAAACAGGCGATCGCATTCACATTCGCATTCCCAACTACCATTACATGTGTGTGTGTGTGTGTAATACCTCGAAAAAAAATATTGCAGATGAAGGAGGAAAGGGCCAAAATGGATTTGTTTTAATTAATCATGATTAAGCTGTTCAAGTTTGAAAGACGTTAATTTATTACAGTCGTAACGAATGAATAATTCAACGGGCTTATTGGGATTGGTTGGATCAGTGTTTGACTATGAAATCAACTTCGTTAGTTAGCTGTCACGAAGAGGAATTAAAATCAAGTTGATGAAAGAATCACGTTATTCCGACCACAAGTTCATTAATTAAATCTCATCAAAGTTTATTTTAAAAAATTTCTGATGCATTGAAATTGAGTAGCGCTTAGTGTTAATTTAATTTTATGCTAGGTATGTTTAGGTGTTGTGCACAGATTTACTTGCAAAAGCTGGGTGGTAGCCAGTTTAATTATTGTTTAACTAGTGGTAAACAGTTGTTACTAATGGAAATTCATTGTTGCTAGGGAAAAGCAGTCTTAAGAGAAAGGTGGATTTGGGGATCTATATAAGAATTATTAATTGTAGCCAGCCAGCTGATTTAAATGAAAGAGTAAAAATTAGAGTCAAGGAAACTTCAGAACTTTTCATGGAAATTTAAAGAGTAAACGTTTTTTCAAAGAGAAATGTTGGTTGGGAGCCAACAATAATTGTGAATGTTGGGTACTTATTTCTCGCGGGGAAATTAAAGCTGTAACACTAATTAATTAATAATTAATCATTAATTATTATTATAAACTCAATTTGGATGCTAAATGCTTGCCAGTCCTTCTAACTTGTATGATGCACAGTGAAAAGGAGCAGCAACGAAACTTATAAATCCAATTCATATTTCCTTCGATCTAATTATAAGAGTTAGAGAATTCACTTTAGTGCCAAATATAAAACTCCAATTCATATCTTTCAAATTTATAATTTCTCAAACTGTATTGAATACACATGGCGAAGGATTCTCATCATATATATATATATATATATAGTACTTTCAATGCAAATAATCATGATTAAATAGCGTAAATAATACATTTTTCTACAAATAATTCAATTGGTTAATTGTTTAATCTTTTTAAATTAGTTATTTAGATTTTATATCAAAGAGCATAGACAATAATAAAGTGTAGTATTATTCATAAGTTATAAATAATTTAGAAAGACTCTATGCAACATACAGATGACATCAGTTAATAAATACTACATCCAGTCATAAACATAAGATTTAATTTACGCGCGGTATAAATTACACTATAAACTAAATTACACAATGATTTTCCAAGAAGGGGAGTGAATCTTGTGTGGTCATCAATAACGCTAAAGCATTTAACAAAGTTAATCAGTTAACCTTCAAATTCCACATGACGAAAATCAGAGTCCAACCACCATCACTAATTAATCTCTTAAGGCTTTGCCAATTGATCATCCTTTTTTTTTGGTACCATCATCTTTATTAAAGCTAGCTAGGTGTGGGCCTCATGAAATGCTCGAAGTTTGAGATACATAGCATAATTTATCATTTATAGACAGTGCAATTTGTTGTATATAATGTTATGTTATAGTTTTTTTTTTCTTTTGATAAATTCAAATTGAAAATGTGTGCGAGAGCTGCATTCTTAAGCACAAAGACAACAAATTCTTTATAAATATTAATTACTTATTCAGTGAATTCGTGAGTCTTCAGTACTCTTTTTTTAATTTTAACAATCAAGATTCTTTCGCTCGCGCTTTACTTTTTTGGCGTGCTAAAAGGGAGATATATATATGGAATTGCTTTCAGTCTCGTTTGACATACACCTGTTTAATTAAAACACGTTCGTTCAAATAATGAAAAGGTTAAAGACCTTCAAATTATATATTCTTAATTTATTCTGTCCCATGAAATTACAGAACCAGAAATCTCTCTAATTCTTAAAAACAAGGTAGCACCGAACGTGTATGCAACCAGAGGTTATAATAGGGAAGGGTAGATGATTATGAGTATACAAAAAGGCCTCCTCCTGCCTCCTATATATACACGTACCCTTCCCCTCTCCTCTTCAGTTCATCTCTTCCTCTCTCAGCCTCTCTCTCTCTCTCTCTCTCTCTATATATATATATATATTCAATAATACAGAGAAATGGAAAGCAATTTGCCGGTAATATCAAAGAAAGTGTGGAGCATAGTGCGCGTCGTCTTCTTCATGCTCCGGAAAGGCCTCACAAAACCAAAGCTCTTGATGGACCTCAACCTCATGCTCAAACGCCCCGGCAAGCTCGCCGGGAAAGCCATCGCCAATCTCATCTCCCACCACCATCACTGCCACCACGGCGGCTCCGCAGCATCCCACGACGTCCATTTACAGTTCTCCACCACAAGCGAGTACGAGTTCAGCTGCAGCAACAGTCCCAGCTACAGCTTCTTCTCCAAACGCCATTTTTCCCGTCACTTCCTTGCTTGCGCTCATGCACCACTAACGCTGGACGATGACGCGGTGGTGGTTAACAATGCTCTTAAGGTCGCGTTGGAGATTATAGATGACAAAAAATGCAAGGATGTGGCGGAGGCGTCGCCGGCACTACCTAGGTCTGGCCCGACCCAGACGGCGAGGCCGGTGATGGTCACGGACTCTCCGTTTCCAGTGCAAGACGGCAACGACGACGGGGACCACCGGGTTGACACGGCGGCGGAGCAGTTCATAGAGAGGTTCTTCAGGGAGTTAAGGAAGCAGCAGGGCTGAGCAACTTTGGATTTGTTCAACATTAATTATGATTAATTAACCGTAAAATTATAACATCAAAGCCATTTTGGATATATGTTGTTGATAATCATCCCAACCTCAGTTTTCACCTTTTGTGGGTTGGGGATTTTGCTTTCAAAGTTGTTATTTCAGACATATATTTGTACTTTTAATTGTTTTAAACTCAATAAATAAAGGGGAAAAAAAAGAACTTCCTGGTCTGACTGAACATTTCGGCTACAATTTATATAATCTCTTCAGCTCTCTTCTTTTTCTTTTCCAACAAGAGCATTTTATTTTGCAACAAGGGAGATATATAAAACATCAATATAAAATATGAAATTTATATAAAATGCACAATATTTCTTGGGAAACAGTATGCAATAAAAAGTCTCTTGGAGGGCTTGGCATGAAGCATATTAAACAGCAGAATCGGGCTTTTATGATGAAACTAGGCTGGGGTCTAGTCAACGACCGTGATTCTCTTTGGGCAAAGGTGATTAGAGCCAAATATGGATGCGGCAATGATCTTCTTCCAAATATTAACTTCAAGAAGATAGGGTCTAATACTTGGAGTGGCATCAAACAGAGCTGGAAGAAGGTAAAGGAAGGAATTCAAATCACTAAGAACAGATTTGGTACTGATTGTGCCTGCTGGAGATGGAACAAAAGTGGTTCCTTCACTGTTCACTCAGCCTATGAGAGCTTATCGCCTGTACAAAATAACATATTAGGGGACTGGGCAACCATTTGGAAGCTCAAAATTCCTCAAAGATGCAAAACTTTTGCTTGGCACATGTCACATGAACGGCTCATAACAAACGAACATAAGCTCAAGCGCCATCTTCATGCTAATGATACCTTTGATAGATGCAATGAAGGCACCGAGGATATTCTTCATGCCCTCCGAGACTGCAAGCATGTAAAAAATTTGTGGTCTTCGGTCATCTGCCCCGCCTATCAAGACTGTTTTTCCTCCGGCTCCCTTCAAAGCTGGATTCTCCTGAACATAACAAAAAACCTTAAGGGAGAGGATTGTTACTGGGAAGGATTGTTTGTGATTATGTGCTGGCTCTTATGGAGGAACAGAAATGAAGCAATTCACGGCGATAATGCAGCGAAGACTGACAGAATCTACGAGCATGCCTCGGCTATCCTTAGTAGCATGAACCATGCAGCTAACAAGTTGCAGTCCACTAGTGTAAACACCCACCAAAGAATGAGACTTGCTCCTGTGATAGAAGCCTACCTTCAAGCCTCATCGTCGAAGTGGATGGAGCTTATTCATACACATCTCATAAAGCTGCGTGTGGAGGTATCCTGATGGATGGAACGCGACGGATTGTAGAAGGTTTCACTTCGAGACTCCAAGAGGGTGACTCTCTGTCAGCAGAACTTTGGGGTTGCCTGCTTGGGTTAAGAAGAGCTTGGGATGGAGGTCACCGGAACGTTATCCTTAGATCAGACTCGCAAGAAGCGCTAGAGTTAATCCTGGGGCATGTTTCTGATATGCACGAAGAATGGAACATCGTTATGGAGATCAAGTAGATGCTTGAAAGGAACTGGAAGGTTCTATGCTGCTCCATCACTAGAGAAGACAATGTCTTTGCAGATTCTCTTGCCAAGAGAGCCCTCAATGATGGACCAGGTTTCCAAGTTTTGGGACCTGATTCTGTGCTCACCTTGCTCTCTCATGAGGGAATAGGATAGTTGGTGTTTGCTTTTCTCTTGTTATTCGTATTTTTCATTTTCCCAAATATCAAAAAAAAAAAAATGAATTCATAAATGCATTAGTGTGCCTGTATACATATGCGCTCTGTTTTTTTTAATTCTAACTCTACGAAGAATTTATAACAGATCGCTGGCTCTAAGGAACTAAATAATTTATAGGGACTTTTTACCTTCAGGTAAGTTTAAAAAGAATTTATCTCGCAAATCTATATGCGACATTTGAAGTTTTGTATTATACATATACTGATTTACTATGAGGACAACACATTTAGTGATTATTTAGATGTACTAATTGCAGCTTATGAATGCACAAAAATTCCACTAATGTTGACAGCACATTTAGTGATTAAGAAGATCTACTAATTAATTGCAGTTTAATTATTGTTTAACTAATGAAAAGTAGTATTCCTTCTAGTTTTTTCTTTTTTTTAAAGAGCCTGGTAACTAAATCACGTGATTTAAGAAAACAGTTAAAATTATATTGTTGTGAAAAAAGCGGTGAAAGAGAGGTGGATTTGGTGGTCTACTATAAAACAATTAATTAATATTGGATCCAGCTGATTTAAATGAAGGTTAAAAAAACACGTTGATTTGGAGCCAACAATAATTGTGAATGTCATGTAAATTAAAGTTGTAGCACTAATTAATTAATTAATTATTATAAACGTAACGTTAACTTATGGTGCAGAACGAAGAGGAGCAGCAAAGAAACTCGTAAAGGTTTGGTACTGATGCTATGAAAAATGAGGCCTCTGTCCTCTGCGTTTTTTTTTTTTTTTGAATTCTTCTTTGGCCTTTTTTCTTTCTTTCTTATTTCGTCGTGCTTCACATGAAATTTTCATCTCAATTGGTACAGCTATCAACATATTAAAATATTCTTTAATTTGTCTGCCTTACTTCTTCTTCTGGCTGGTTATTGAATGAGTTTGTCCTCATCTAAGATAAAAATTAATATATAAAAAACAAACGTAAAATCCAGACAATTCAAATTTACGACTCCTCCCATCTATCATCAACAATTATATTTGATAACATTAATCAATTTTTTCTCTTACAGTATTTATTTTTTTAAAACTAATTAATTTACATAAATTATAAATTACTACCTCCGATCCTTATAATATAAGAACTAGTTGACTGATTTGAGTAGATTAAAAAAATTAGTTATGTTTGTTATTTGTAATAAATAGGTGTTGTTGTTTTTTTTTTGTAAAATACTCTTGTTAATCAAGTGTATTGGTTAAAATAGGGGTGAAAATAGGCCAGGCGGCCTGTCAGGGGCCTACAACTTGACTTGTATTTGGCTTGGTTTGGCCTGACCTGTTTCAAAATAGAAAAAAGCTCAAGCCTCTTTGATGATCTGTTTAGCCTAATGGCCTAATGGGCCAGGCCTAGGCTTTTTGGAAAGCCTGTTAGGCCTAGCCTAGCCTGTTTTTATCTTATTTTTAATTTTTATTTTGTGCTTATATCTAGTCTTATTTTAAATTTTGATTATAACTTGTTTTTAATAATATTAACTGTAATCAAGATTCAAAATATTACTTATGAATAATAAAAAATAATTATTATATAGTATGTATATTTTACATTTTTATTAGACTATGTATTTTTTACTATGCATTTTGAAAATTTTAAAATTACAGGTTTCTTTAACAAGCTCAGGCTAAGCCAGACCTTTATATAGGCCAGGCTCAGACAGAAAAAAAAAAAAAAACCTATTACAGGCCACATGCTAAGCTCAAGCCAACATGTTACTAAATAGGCTTGGCCTGTTAAGGACAAAGCCTGGCCTGGCTTGTTTTCATCCTTAGGTTAAAACTACCATTATTACAAAAACTATCTTAAAAAAATAGATAAATATGAAAGACAAAATGGATTGGAATATTACATTTAAGATCAAAATAAAAGTCAAATAAACTCTTATATATAAGGATCGGATGTAGTAATATATAATTCAATATTACTCAGGAGTATTTTAGAAAGACAATATCATATTTATTATAATTAACTAATTTGTTTTATTTTATTAATCTATCTAAATTAATTAAGTAGAATTTATATTAAGGAGAGAGGAGTAACTTACTTTATTTTACGAGTTTATAATTTATGAATAGTGCAATTTATTACATATAAATTATATATATATCGTAGTGTTTTTTTCCCCTGCAAAACAGAACAATTTAAATGGAACCCGTCTGAGAGAGCGGCATTCTTAAGGGGAAAGACAAACACGGCTTACGCGTTAACGTTATTTACTCATTATAAAGTGAATATTCTTCTTCCATTTGACTACAAAATATATATACATATTTCCTTCTCCACAAATACAAATTAAAAGCTAATTTATCAACAAAGAAGGTTATACGTGAATATTGGCGAATTAATATATGTATGGTGATGAAGAAATAATAGAGTATAGGACTAATTATTAATAGCAAATATATTATATTATTGCTAAGCAGCTGTATAGCATATATATGATTTTTCTAATTAAGCCCACCCCATCACTATTTCCTACACAGTTGTCAAGCCTTTCCTAATTCACCATCTTTTTTGCACGCGCGTTGTTATTAAAGCTAGGCCTAGGCGTGTGCCTCATGAAATACATCGAGTTCAAGAAATATTACAAAATTCATATTTTTTTAATATATAGAACTCATTCTATAGTATAATTTACATTATGCGCTATAAAATGGATGACAAATATTTAGGATCAAGATGTGTTTTACTTTAGGATTGGAGAAGTAATTTCCAAATAGTACAATATATTATATATAACTTATGATATTATATTTTTTTAATATATAAAGAGAACAATTTAAATTGAACATGCGTGCGATAGCCGTGTTCTTAAGGACAAAGGCACCAATACGGATGGTTTATAAATATTAATTATTTAATTCAGTGAATTATTGAATCTTCGGTATGCTGACCGCTTACAAATTTCTTTCTTTCTTCTAACAAATACAGAAGTTAAAGAAATGTTTTAACTTTTTAACGTACGGTGAATTTTATCCATATATACATATATATATATGTATATATGGATGAAGATATAATATAGAAGTACTAATAATGGCAAATATTAAAGCTAATTAAAGCAGCCACCATATGAATTTTCTAATTTTAACAATCAAGAAGATTCTTCCACTCGCACACGTTGTTTGGCGTGATAAAAGGGAGATACATGAATTGCTTTCCGTCTGGTTTAAACCTGTTTAATTAAAACACGTTCTAATAATGAAAGGTTTATTTTCAAAAAAAGAAAACAGAAATCTCTTTATTAAAAAAAGAAGGTAACACTGAATATGGATGCACCCACTGGTTATCATAGGGATACAACAAACACTCCTTTTGCCCTCTATATATATACACATACTCTTGCCCTCTCCTCTTCATTCTTCAATTCATCGCTTTAGTCTCTCTCTCTCTCTCTAGGCAACACAACAGAAGAATCCTCCTAACCCTCTCTCTCTCTCTCTAAACCTGCAGACAAAGTCTTGTTCAATATATAATACAGAGAGATGGAAAGCAATTTGCCAGTACTATCCAAGAGAGTGTGGAACATGGTACGCCTTGTCTTCTTCATGCTCCGAAAAGGCTTCAACAAACCAAAACTCTTGATGGACCTCAGCCTCATGCTCAAACGCCCCGGCAAGCTCGCCGGAAAAGCCATTGCCGATCTCATCACCCACCACCATCATTGCCACCATGGGAGCTCCACAGCCTCCGACGACACCTATTTGCGGTTCTCCACCGCCCGCGAGTACGAGTTCAGCTGCAGCAACAAACCCAACTACAGCTTCTTCTCCAAACGTCATCCCCGTCGCTTCTTCACCTGCGCTCACGCGCCGCTCACGCTGGACGATGATGTGGTGACGGTTAATAATGCTCTTCAGGTGGCGTTGGACAAGCTCGATGACCAAAAATGCAAACATGCGGTAGACGCGTCGCCGGCACTTCCCGGGTTTGGACGGACCCCGACGGTGAGACAGTTGAGGGTGACGGACTCTCCGTTCCCGGTGCAAGACGGCAGCGATGACGGGGACCACCGGGTTGACAATGCGGCGGAGGAGTACATAGAGAGGGTCTTCAAGGAGTTAAGGAAGCAGCAGGGTTAATGAGCAACTTTGGATTAGTTACTCCGGGTTAAATGTTAATTATGATTCATTAACCGTAAAATTAACATCAAAGCAAATTTGGATATATGTTGATGATAATCATCCCAACCTCAGCTTTCACCTTTTGTAGGTTGGGGATTTTGATTTCGAAGTTGTTGTTTCTGACATATATTTGTACTTTTAATTGTTTTATGCTCAATAAATAAAGAAAAAAAAATCTGAAATTTATATCAATATTCTTATTTTGACTGAACATTTCGGCTACAATTTATGTCATCTCTTCAGCTCTTTTCTTGTTCTGTTCCAAGTTCCTACTTCCAGCAAGAGCATTTTATTTCGCACTTTATATCAATTAAAATATGAAATTATATTCATAATAAATTGTTCATATCTAAGTTATAAATTTGTTAGGAACGAGGAGTGAAGCCAAAAACGGGACAGAAGAGAAATGGGTAATAAGTAAAGGAGGATTCCTCATTTTAACTCAAAATCTTAAAGCGAGAGTTCATGAATCATTTTATTGCATTATGTGTTGCTTACTAAGTCTAATTTTATTCAATATGAAGACTTCCCATATTAACTTTAGTCTACTCATATTTGCACAATTGAACAAAATACACACACACACACATGAAAATGAAGCTAGACTATGAGGCTTGTATCGTACGAAGTGATCCAAAGGTAACTATTCTCTGGTTAAATATCAGTGCAACTTCCTAACTTGGAGCTTTATATCATATGTCGATTTATAATGACGGCACAGTTAGTGATTAATTAGATACACTAATTGTTGTTTATGAATGTGTAAAAATTTTCTTAAAACATTATTTTGGTTTATAGTAAAATCGGATTTCCATAAAAAGAGGCAGGGGAAGACCGAGAAGAACGCTGAATGAGGTCATTGAACGAGACCTCCTAATCAACAACATATCTAAGGATTGGGTTGTTGACAGAGCACGATGGCGTCGTGTGATTCATGTAGCCGACCCCACCTAGTGGGATAAGGCTTGTTGTTTGTTTGTATAGTAAAATCGGATTTCACAGCCAAGGGCCAGCACTATTTCCCCTAATGTCATGTGTCCCTACATGATCGCACTAACATCTCAAAGAGAAACCATTGTCTGCTTTTTTCCCTTGAACATAATGTAGCCTTTCTCATTTGGTTTCCATAGTCTACTCTCCATTGCTTTTGCTTTATTGCCATTCTTTTCATTCTTTTGACCTTTCCAAGTCTTTACATAACAACCACTTCCTCCTATCAAACAAAGTCTCCCAAATCCACTTACGAAGAAAACAGGTGATCACATTTTTTTACCTAGCTGCTAATAATACTAGTGTGTGTATGTGTTACGAAACAAAAGATTAGTAGAGAAAGCAAATTATTAGTCGTGATTAAGCTGTTGAAGTTTGAAAAGGTTATTAATTCTCAGTCGTGACGAATGAAGAATAGCTTTACCGAATTACCGAGATTGGTTGGATGAATTAATGTTTGGCTATAAAATCAACTTTTCTAGTTAGCTGTCACGATAAATCTTATAAAATCAACTTTTTTAGTTAGCTGTCACCATAAATCTTACTACTCTGTAGAAGAAAAGGTTGTGCAAACAATGGTCACTTTTTTCCGACCATGAATAAGTACAATAATTAAATCTCAATTTCTTTTAATTCTCGGAAATTTTGAAAAACACATCGAGTTAGTAGTTTAATTAGTGTTAACATTTAGCTAGGCGTGTATATAATAGTTATTGCAAGTAGATTTATGTGCTTGCAAAGCTAAGCAGATTAGTAGCTACAGTATATTTTAATTATTGATTCACTAATGGTAAACAGTAGCTATATATGAATGGAAATTGATTGATGTGTGTGCTTATATATACAAAGAGATCGTCCGGGAAAAGCAGTGAAAGAGTGATGGGATTTGGTGGTCTCATAAGACAAATATTAATTGCAGCCAGCTGATTTAAATGAAGGTAAAAATATGAGGCAGCTGGGACCTTTCATGTAAAAAAAAATGTTGATTTGGATAGCCAACAATAATTTTGAATGTCGGATAGCTGGATTGTTGGTTACTTGCAGGCAAATTAAAGCTGTAACACTTAATTAATTAATTAATATTATGAATTTAATTTGCATGCTAAATATGCTTGCTTGGTAGTCGTGTGTTTTTGACTTTTATGATGCACAGTAAAAAGGAGCGGCAATGAAATTCGTATAAAGCCATAACTTTAGTTACTTGCACTCTGAAAAATGAGGCCTCTGTGTGTGGTTTTTTTTTAAAATTTATTATTTCGTCATCCTTCATGTGAAATTAAATCTATTCATGATTCATCTCAATTAATACAGTACTACTACCTTCGGTCATTAATATAAAATCTTATTTGACTTTTATTTTTGTCCTAAATCTCTAATCCATTTTGTCTCTAATATTTATGTATTTTTTTCAAGCTAATTCTTCTAACAATGGTAGTTCTAGCTAATACACTTGATTAGCAAGGATATTTTAGGAAAAATAACACCTATTGATGACAAATAACTAACTTAACTTCTTTTCTTAATCTCCTCAAATGAGTCAACTAACTCTTATAATTAGGATCGGAGGTAGTATTACCAATACCATGTTTCTAATATTGTTTAATTGGTCTGCATTACTTGCTCTTCCTCTTCTCCATTTTTTGACCAGGCTCTTCTTCTTATAATTAATTTAAATAGCGCAACTTATTAATGAAAAATTAAATACTATAGTGTAGCCGTATAGGACTAATAATAGCAAATATATTAATGCTAAGCAGCTCTATGTTTGGCATATGATTTTACTAATTTTAACAATCAAGATTCCGTTTTACTCGCTCACTTTTTTTTTGGGCGTAATAAAAGAGGGATATGGAATTGCCTTTAACCGATAGTTTAAAACTTTAAATTCATACGTTCAGCAAATAATTGAAAAGTTTAAGAGATTCAAAGTAAATTAATTCTTAAGACCGTTGGTCAGCGATTTTATTGTCCGAACTACTATTATCATTAATAAGGTTTAATTAAGTAATCTTATTGAATTAATCAATACAACAAAATGTATTATGTCATGGCTGTTTGAAAGATTGATCATTCTATAAAGTTATAAATGGGAACTGCAGGACGGCAAAAATGCAACATTCGAAAGGAAAGGGTGGGCCCTACGCGCCCAGAGCCCAAAAAAGAAGAAAAGAAAGAAAAGCTCATTTCTTTCCTACTAAGCATTCTCCTCCTCGCCACGCAAACAAGATGGTCCCATATAGAGCCGGGAATCAGGGCCGGCCCGGCCCTTCAGGGCTGGCCGGCTTAAAAGGGCCGGCCCTCCAGGGCTGAAATTTTAAAAATACCCCAATTTGCTAGGCCCGGCCCTTAAGCTACAGGGCCAGGGCCGGCCCGCGGGCTTTTGGCCCGTTTAAGAAAAAATACTATTTTTTATATTTATCATATTTTTTATAAAAATAAATCAATGAAATTATTAATAAAAGACATAAATATGAATAAAATTAAGTCACATATAAAATATCATCATATATAAATATTCATCAACATCTAAAACATTCATTAACAAGATAACAACATCTAAAGTTTTATCTATAATGCAATTGTGCAATAAATAAACACTATTATTAATCTTTTGAAACTTCATCATCACTATAATTAATTACTTTTCTTCATAAGTATACTTTTCTTTCGTAACAAAAATATCAAGTTTTTCTTCTTTATAAGAATTTTATTTTTAAATTTTGCAATCTAACTATTTTTTTACTTTAATGTGAGAAACATTGCTGTTAAAACTCATGAATTTCTAATTCAAATTATAGAATCACAAGTTATATAAGTATAAAAATATTCTATTATCAAATATATATATATAGTTTAAAAATATCAACGCATATAATATAAATCAAATCATTATTAAAGTCCAAATTAACCCATTTTTTAAAAATTTAATTGGATAAATTATTATCTAAAACTAAATTTACTTTTAAAATGATAATAATAACTAAATATTTGAAATATTATTAACAATGTAAAAAATTAATAACATTAATATTATATAAAAAAATTTTAAAAATAAAAAAATATAAAAGGGCTTAAAAGGGCCGGCCCGTGGCCCTCCAGGGCCGGCCCTTTTAAGCCCTCAGCCCTCCAGGGCCAGCCCTCCAGGGCTTATGTTTCATTTTAAGAGAAAAATATCAAGCCCGGCCCTCATAATTTCAGGGCCTAAAAGGGCCGGCCCGACGGGCTCGGCCCGTTTTCCCGGCTCTAGTCCCATAGTAGTATTTTTTATCTTTAATATCAGAGTTAATTTAATTTTTATTTTGATTTTAAATATAAAACTCTAATTATTTTATTTTTCATATTTATTTATTTTTTAAAATAGCTTTTGTAGTAATTGCACATATTAAAGTGTAATCAAATGATAGTTGTAGTTAGTACGCTTGATTAGCAAAGGTATTTTAAGAAAATAATATCTATTTATTACAAATGACTAACTTAACTAATTTTCTTAATATACTCAATTAGTCAATTAGTTCTTATATTAAAAAACTAGAGGTAGCATATATATAAAATTCAAAGACAGCTTTCATTTTCAAAACCCTATATAATAGATTAAAAATACTTTTTATATTTTCTAATTTCTAAAATATGTCACGAAATAAATAAATAAATAACTGGAAACCTTTTAGTTGTGAAATTGAGCTTGTTACGTTAACTAAAGTATGTGAAGCGGATCCTAATCTTCTCTCTCTCTCTCTGTGTTTTTTTTCACTCAGGCAGTGATTAATAAATGTATTATGAGATTTGGGGATCGGTTTAAAGGGGAACCAAGAGCAAATTAAAATAACCCTTACACTCATTCCATCCATTCATATTTATCTTTTCATATTTATGAATATATAGTTTACCTTCCTATTCATAAATCTAGTTAATAATATGGTTTATGGAACACTTTCTTCATAAATATATAAAATATCTAATATATATTTACAAAAATTATTACTATAGGACCCATCAACTTGTTTTTACTAGGGTACAAGGCGCGAGTCTTAAAATATTAATATGTGCGGTGCTCTTCCATTGTTCTTCCCTAATTGGTTAAAGTTTTCTCTATTCAACCGCTAGAAAGATTCATAATTAAATATTTATTTTATTTTATTTTAAACAGTGGTATATGAATTAATTTAATAATTTAGATGTATAAAAACTAGCACAGTAAAGAAACAATGAATTAACACTGATATTTAGTAATGAAATTTGTAAATTCTATCACAAAAAGACTAACATATTAATTAGTGACAGAATTTAATCACTAATTAAACTGATAATCGACAGAAATTTGGTCACTAGATTTCATCGCTAATTCATTCTTTTTCTTTTTTAGTATAAAGTATTATATGTTTGAGCAAAGATAATTTATTGGATATCCTCAGCTATCCGTTAGATTCTCTGATGAATGAAGCTTAAATTATTTGGTGACATTACAACTTTCTTTTGGATAGGATTTGTGACTGAAAACAAAACCCCAAAAAAAGGCACCTTCAAATAATTCAGTTTCGTACATTTAGTTTTTAAGGATAAAATGAAATATAATTGCTTCTAGATTTAGATTGTAGCAAAAAGCTAGCCTTGAAAATGACAAGAAACAAAGAGAAGTGGTTGGAAGGCTTTGAGTTCAATTTAGTGCTCAATAATTGAAGATTTTTGTTTTCTAATATATTTACTTAAGGCTTTGAGTTCAACTTAGTGTTCAATAATTGAAGATTTTTGTTTTCTAATATATTTACTTAAGGCTTTGAGTTCAACTTAGTGCTCAATAATTGAAGATTTTTGTTTTCTAATATATTTACTTAAGGCTTTGAGTTCAACTTAGTGCTCAATAATTGAAGATTTTTGTTTTCTAATATATTTACTTAAGGCTTTGAGTTCAACTTAGTGCTCAATAATTGAAGATTTTTGTTTTCTAATATATTTACTTAAGTTTACCCGTAATTAAACCACTTTTTTTCTTTATTAAATTATGCCATAACAACAACGTTTAACTCCCATGCTGTCTTTTTAGTGGAACTTTAGATTTTCTAGATCTCTTTCCATTAATTATCATATATAATTAATCACACAAAGTTAAACAAACTACAAATTGTGTTATCTTTCTAAATAAACCATTTGATTTATGGCACTTGGATAGCATCCAAATAATATATCAAAGGTCTTTCCATAATCACTGTAAATAACGATAAATGGAACATCAAAATCAACCTTACTAATGGATATGCGTGTAGCATTCTGAAATCAAATGTCTTCATTATGTAATTACCTTTATAATCTTAAGGGATCTTTAAGTAAAATCATGATGATTAGACTTAAGTAGAAGCTTCACGATCCTCATATATTATCTTAATCATTTGACCAAACAAAGGCTGCTGGAGTAGAAGGTGGCAGCTTCTTCCAGTCTTGTCTATTAATCTCAAGTTATATGCATGACTGAATATTTCAAATTAATTTGAAATTACTCAATAAGAAAGTTAATGTTCTTAAATTTAAAGGTAACATCATTTTTTCCCCATCGCTCATTGATTCATATTCATGAATAACTGGATATAACATTAGCGTTTTAATAATTAAGTATTTTCATCCAAGAATAAAAAATTATTATGACTTTAATTTTGTGTGTGTCTGTGTTTCTTGTGTACATAATCCTTCAGGCTTAATGACAAGGCATGTAGGAGTAGTATAAATTAATTAAATTTTAGAGTGAGCTTTTTTTCTTTTTTTTTTGTTGTTGGAGGTAATGTAAGGCCAAGATAATGTTTGAATTAAATAATATTGTTAGATCCTAAAATGTATTAAATATTTTAATGCTGCTTTTTGAGACATTAAAGATAGAGGATAATGGATGAAGTTAAGGGTTATCTGTTAGTGGAGCAGGTTTCTTAATCGTTTTTTCTTATTATAAAATATAATTCCATTGTCCGCTGAATAATCTAATACACACACACACAGACACACGCATATATATATGACCAAGCTGTTAGTGTTTTCCCCAAGAAAATTAGATCCTTTTGGTTTCAATCTTATTGCTTATAAAATTAGATATAGCGCAAAACAAAGTGCACAGGTCAAATACAAAGCATGCCAATGAAACTAATGGAGCCTAGGACCACACACACACACACAGAGGCTGGTCCTTCTCTTCGAATATTAAACTTACTTTTACATTTGCTTTTTGGATTTCTAGCTGTCAAGTTAAGAAACTACCCACAAGAAACGTCCCCCTACAAAGTAAAAGGTTACCCCTTCACATTTTGTACTAAGTAATCGCTTAAACCTCAATCCACGAATATCGATTACATTATTAGAAGAGGTTAAAAAACAAGAATATAATTACAAGCATTTGAAAGTATTGTTCACAAAAAAAAAAAAGAATTTGAAAATATTAATATTATTTTAGTCCCCGTCTGTCTGTGTACGAGTGTGATCTGTGGGATTAACTTCGTTCCAAATTCATGGCTATCCATTCTTGTGAGTTATATGGCGGTTTTTTTTTAAAAAAAAAAACGGGACTGCATTATTTTGTAGATAATAATTCAGTTTAATTTGTTGATTAAATTAGCATTAATTAATTTCTTCAGAATTTGTTATTTGTTTGTAATATATATAACGTTAGTTGTGTTGATTTGGAGCACTGTCTAATTTAGTGAATTAAGGAGTCTTTGATTAATTAATAAACCTAGATCATCCAGAAGACCATATATATAACGTGTTGCATTGTGATCAAATGAATGCGAATTAAACCTTTTCACAGTCTAATCAATGTTGAAGTGAAATCATGATAATAATTAATTAGCACTAATATAAGAAGCTGCTCCATCAAGATTAGATTGATCCTCATCCACTAAGTAAATCTTAGATTGTTGTTTCAATTTGGCAAGTAACTTTGGTAAAGACGAAAGCATTATAAGAATCCCTCTCTATATAATGGCTAGAAAAAAGGAAAAGTGGAGCTGGTTTTTCTCTTTATTTCCAGCTTTAACAAAAATAAATTAATGCACTTAGAGCTGCTTTGGGTTCGCGTGCTTTTGAATACAGCCAAGTTTTAAGCCTTTACCCAACCAAAAAAAAAACCACACAAATTCATATAATGCCACGTACAAAGTGCTCAGATAAACTTTTAAGGTAAAGTGGGGAGAAATATAATACGGGGAAAGTATTTTTATATGTAAACGAAAGGAAACCTGCTGGAGCTCGAGGTGGCAACTTCTTAGTTCTAACCTAACATTCTCATGTATTAGTTTGGAGCAATATGTATATGGCTGAATATTCTGAATGAACTAATTTGAGCTATGAATTAGGGAAAAAAAATCAATTATGAAGGGAATTTAATTCAAAAAAATCCACGTCTCTCTTCATTATTAATTCACTTGCCACACATATATAGATCCATTTGGGGATATAAGACAAGTATGGAAATCCCACTTGAATTATAAAATTTTAGAATACTGAGCTTTGGATGTAAAGGCGATAGGTTATAATATCAGTGATGAATAATTGTGAGATCCTGAAAATTATATATTAAGTATTGCTTTTTTTTCTTGGGTGTTACGGAGAAGAAACCTTGAATATAATTATGACAAAGGTCACGGATAAGGATGAGGTTAAGGCCTCAAGTGACTCTTAAAAACGACAATTCCTATCGTAAAGTAAACATATGCAAGACTCTGCAAAAGAACATATGTGTGAGTATGCCTGCTCGGAACGACTATGGCCATAAGCTACTGGGAAACAAGGTTGCACGCTTCATTTTTTAGGAAAAGCATCTTCATTTCATGTTCGAAAATAAATTTATACGTGCTTTAAAAAAACATGGCGTCTTAATTACAAATTTTTACGAATTTGTTAGATATAAGATTTTACTACACTGTACTTTGCTTCCTCTTTTTTTTTCCCAAACAACAATAACAAGCATTATCCCACCAATTAGGTGGAGTCGGCTATATAAATTGTATGATGCCATTATACTCTATCAATAATTAAATCTTTAGACGTGTTCTTAATCAAAATACCCTGTTTGATAACCTTATTGAGCATCCTTTTCGATCTTCTTCTATTCCTTTCTAAAAGATCCAAATTGTGTAATCTTCACCATGCCTTCAATTCTCTTTATCTTTTTTCCACTGTACAGGTTAAAAATATCATCACAAAAAATATTTCCTAAATTTATCCAACTCCCTTTGAACAAATTAGACATTTCAAAAATAAAATTGAAAATTTAATTTAAAGGATATTGTGTTTAATTAAATTTAAAAGAATTATTAAACTAAAGACATTAAGGATGGATTTTATAAAAATTGATTAAAAAATAGATGAAATGATACTTTTTGAATATATAATTCACCCGAATAATAAATCATAAAACGCAAACCGACCAAGAAGCAATGCCAAATTGTACCTTAGCCGCTAGCCCCCGTTGCCCACACTTGAAGACTGAAGCTCACGTGAGGTTTCTTCTGAAATCGGCAAAATGTCACGTGACCTTTAACTTAGCCTGGCAGAACCCCGCCGATAATGCAACTGCGTCAAATAAAAATAAATAAAATAATAAAAAAGATGGTAACACCGAGTTTCTCTGCACCCACGCGTGCCCAAAGGCACCCCTTTCCCTTTCGTCTTTCTTTCTTCTACAGTTCTACCTCCTTACCCTCTAATTAACTTTTCCCCGCCATAAATATAGAACCCACAGGCCCTGCCTCTTCAGATTCGGAGTTCAGAAATCAGAAGTACATCTCTTCCTCTCTCTCTCTCTCTCAAGACTTGGAAAGAAAACCAGTATCTCTCTCTCTCTCTCTAAAATTGTGAAGAAAAGTACAGTATTATAGAAATGGAGAGCAACATGCCAGAAATAGCTAAGAGAGTGTGGAACATGGTTTGCGTTTCCTTCTTCATGCTCAGAAAAGGCATATCCAAGGGCAAAATCATGATGGACCTCAACATGATGCTCAAACGCCGCGGCAAGCTCGCCGGAAAGGCCATCGCCAACCTCATGTTCCACCACCACCACGGCAGCCCCACCTCCTCCGACAACCCTGACCTCCGTTTCTCTGCCGGACGAGAGTACGAGTTCAGCTGCAGCAACACTCCCAACTACAGCTTCTTCCCAAAGCGCCATAACGGCCACCATCGCCGCCACAGCCACAATCCCTTCTTCTTCGCATGTGCTCACGCGCCGCATACTCAGGACGACGACATGGTGGCCATCAGTAATGCGCTCAAGGCGTCGTTGGAGATGCTAGATAACAACAATGGTCCTAACAACAACTGGAACAAGGATATGCTGGAAACTTCGCCGGCGCTTCCAGGGTTCGGAAGGAGTACAACGGTGAGGCAGCTGAGGGTGACAGACTCGCCGTTCCCAGTGCAAGACGGCGACCAGGACAGGGATCACCAAGTGGACAAGGCGGCGGAGGAGTTTATAATGAGGTTTTACAAGGATCTGAAGAAGCAAGCTTGAACATAAAATTATTCATGATCTCCGCCGTGCTAATTATGCAGTTTTGGATATGGCTCGTGGACTCTGTTTTGGCAAAAAGGGGGGAAAAAAAAAACTGGATATTGATATGTTGATAATAATCAGTTCGTTCCTTTGTGCATTATATGAATTTGTAATTAAGTTTATTATTGTTTTTCTATGATCATTGCAATAAAAAAAAAAATTAAAGGACGCAATTGGCTATCCATTGTTTCTTTCTCCTCGTGCTTTCAATGTCACACGTGAGTATCTCTTATTCTGAAACTGAAAATAATGAAAATATATGAGGGTGGTAATTCTGTGCAAGAATGTTTGAGATAATATAAAATTCATATACATATATATGTACTTTAAAATATATGCGATAATATAAGGATTTTAATTGGAATATATATTATAAAGTTAATGAATATACAAATTAATTGGTGTACATGTCCTTACATACCGTATGCGGGGAACAATTGTAATTGAATATCCCTGGGACATCCTTGAGCACACCTTGTGTTGGAATAATTTTGAATCTTTGCATCTACAAAGTAATTAATTATATTATTATGCTCCATAGACTTCAAATCAAGCATCTCTTCTTCTTTGTGTGTGTGTCTGGCACATGCATATATATAGCCCATGTTTGGCGACAAATTAAATTGAAAATGGATCCCTTAAAGTTGAGAGGTTTACTTTTTTTCCCCCCCAAGAGAAAGAGAGGAGATTTTATGTTTTATTAAAAAAAACCATAAAAAGGTGAAATATATGGGGAAAAAAAACAAAAGAAAAATTTGATGGAAATTTATGGATCTCAACTTCAAACATATCATCATTTTGTTTAATATAAGAACTATTTAATTAATTTAAATATATTAAGAAAATTAAATAAATTATTAATTTACAACAAATATGACATAATTTTTTAAAATATTCCTGTATAACATTATACTATTATATCATTTTATAAGATGAGTAAATTAGTTTTAAAAATATTAAATATAATAATAAATAAAATGAATTGAAATATTATATTTAAGACAAAATTTAATTTCAGCTAGCTTAATTAGGGATCTAAAGAGAGAACAATAAAAGAGAGATCAATAATATATATTGTAGTTCGTGAGAGTGAAAAAGATTTAGAGTTATAGCTTTGGACCTAATTAATTAAAAGTGTGATCTTTAGTAGTGATTCTCATTTGGTTTAATTAAACTTAATTAAATAGGCTTGTCACAGCCAAGGCCACCCTGTTTTGATTAAAGTAGTGTTGATATGACTCCACTAACTTGTCAAAGGGAAACTGTAGGCTGTGCCCTCTCCAAAATATCATGGACTTTCCGCAAACTTTACTTTAATTGTTGCTTTATTTTTCCCACTTTTTTACTTTTGCTTTAAATTATTTCTTTTTCTTATATAATTAACCCTTTTCCTGTTGCTTCTACGTTCTCAAAAAAAGTATCCACGAGAAGATCCATATACAAAGTAACGAGTTACGTGCCCATTGTCACTTTGCACCATACAAATAATGCTTAATAATGGGATGTTTACATTTACCAAATACCCATATATATATTTATATGTTTACACGACAACTTAACGTGAAATAAAAAGATTACAGTTGTCATAGAAGAGGTTAAAATAAATATTAGTGCATATTTAATTTGATTTAATTATTTGTATAATTATAAGCAGGTGAAGTTTGAAAAGGGAGATTAATTTTAAAACTATCATGGGCGAACGAATTAAATTTAAATGATGCACCCTTTGTTTTTTGAGATTAGGTTGTTTTTTTATTAGATAAATAGCTGTCAAAATATTAGACTGCATGTTGTATATAAATACAAATATTTCAAAGGATAATTTCCGAAACAGCTAGGCATTTCTAGCTTCATGCTGGCCAATTGGTTTTATTGCAAACTTTGAGATTTATATATATGTTGATGAACAATTAATTTCACTACTTGGGAAAGACCATTATATACATACACATTGTTTCACACGAGTTGAGCTCATCTTTGAACATGTGTTATCTTTTAGTAGATGTACTGTTCTGGTCAAACTCTCGACCTGACAATGTATTCCGCCAGAGTTGGCTCACACAGTAAACCTTAAATCTAAAAAGAAAGGCAGTACTCCACTTCTGATTCACAAAATGAGAAAAATTCCCAAAAAATGTAGTGGTATATTCATGATTGGTGGGTAGGTACGTCAAGAGAAATGCACAGTGAAAGAAGTGATTTAGGCAATCTAATGATAAGAGAATTATTATGGCGGCTGATTTAAATTTTGAAAGATGGGTCAAATTAGGGTGTTGGTTAACTTGACTAGTTTTTCATGTATAGACATATTAAAGCTGGTCCAATATCGTAGACTTTTGGGCCAACACACTGACCTCGTTTCTTTTCATAAAAAAAATAAATCGCAGACTTTCAATATTAAATAAAGTGATAATTTACTTAGAAACTTCAAATATGTAGGTAGACAAAAAATTTAGTAAAACCCTTAAGGAGGTTGAATGGGAAATATGAAATAACATTTCTCTCACTTTTAATATAAGGACATAAGTTTAAAAAAAAAAGCGATAAATAATGCTTTAGATAAAAAACCAACTATTTTTTTTATAATACACAACAAAGTTACACTCTTATTTGTTTATTATAATTAAAAAAAAAAGAAGAAGGGGGCGAGTAATTGTGAAAGTGAGATGGCTAACAATAATACTCCTCTAGTCTTTAATATAAGATCTATTTAACTAATTTGATTAGATTAAGGAAGTTAGGTAAGTTAGTTAATTATAAGAAATGTAACATGTTTTTCCTAAAATATCATAATCATCTTTCTTAATAGCCCATTCCTCTTCTACTTGATTATGTTTGAGGAAGTATCCATAATGATAATTTAGAGAAAATTGATAACTATGAGAAATAGGTCTTATATTTAGAACCAAAACTAACTCAATAATTAGGTCTTATATTAAAGACCGGAGGAGTAATTGCTATTTTTTGCGGGTAAAAGGTGTAACATCAATATAATAAAGAGTTGATGGGCGCGTGGGTTTTAGCTTTTGAGTTTACAAAGCAAAAGAAATTCTTATAAAGCCAAAAGATTAGGTGAAAGTTCGGTGAAACTCTGAAAATAAGGGGCTCCATTAATTGTCTGGCTTTTTGAAATTTTCCAAGGCTCTTTCCCCTTTGACATGTTTCCCTCTACTTGACATTTCAAAGTAGTTTTATTGTCACAATGATTTGTATTTGTATTAGTGAATTAATTCTTGATTATGATGAGGAACTTTTAGTTATAACCGTAATTACGTGTGGGCTCATACTTTGCATACATGACTTTATGAATTGTTCATTTTAAATATATGTATCCTTGTATCGGAAGAAGTCTGTTAGAGATATTATTGGATCTAAATGTAAGCATATCTCCTTGCAATAATTGCAGTGTAGAGATTTAAATATGAATTAGTCGCGTTGTAATAAATTGACCATTTCTACTAAACTTAACTTCATTGGTAATAGATATTCATTGACTATATAGATAGAGATTCCGGAGAGATAAAATATTATTTATTAAAATTATATTAAAATGGTATGGATCACTAAAATAATTAAGACATCCCAAAATCAAGTATCTTGAAGTTAAAATTAAGAGATAAACAAAGAAAATAAAAATATTAGCTGGGAGATCAATTAATGTTAACATTTCATGAGAAAATTAAACACTAATAATTTTAATTCAATTGAGCGGGTTGTTTCCTATTGCATTAATAATTAATCCTTGACTATTTTTGCACCATTATATGGAACGACTATGTGCATAGCTGTCAACCAAACAAAGATTTGGGCTGCAATATAATGCATTCAAGAGATGGTTACAACTTTACTCACAATACAAAAGTTAGATGAAGTGAAACCAGCTTGATACACCTTAGATAAATTTGAGATTTAAAATTCTATCGAATGAAACAAAAGTGGGAAAGAGATATTCCTTATTTAAACATAGTAATGCCGAAAATGAAATGATCAATAATATTAAATATTTCTCTGGTACTGCCCATATGTCGGAGATAAAACTCTATTTTCTTTTAGTTATACGCCACTTGATTAAATTTTTAATATGAATATATGATTTTGCCAAAAATAAAAAGTATTATAAACTTATAATCAGAAGGTGATGAGACTATCTTTAAGGGCTGCTGGAATAAATTATCATAAAATGCAGCACCATTGACCCCAAAACAAAAAACAAAAAGCATTATAAACAGTCTCGAGTTGGCACTGAACCGCAAATTTGGACGAAAATCAATACACACACTACGAAATGAATCCAATAATAACTTGTTTTAATAAAACTTTCTATTGCACCCATGCACGCATGCTTTTTCCCGCCCTTTTTTTTTTGGTACAACCATCTTTATTTTTCTTTTTAAAAAAAGCTATTCTCTTCAATTTCAATTTTTCTTCTATATACTACCTTCGATCTTAAATATAAGAGCTAGCTGACTAATTTGAGAAGATTAAAAAAATAAGTTAAGTTAGTTATTTGTAATAAATTGATGTTGTCTTTCCTAAAACATTCTTGTTAATCAAATGTATTGACTAGAATTAATGAACTATCATTATTAGAAGGACTATCTTAGAAAAAAAAGTATAAATATGAGATACAAAGTGGATTAGGATTTTATATTTAAGATCAAAATAAAAATTAAATGAAGTCTTATATTAAAAATCGGACGTAATATATATTTTGTATCATGGCCACTTAACATACTATATTTGGGGCTGTTATCGATACAGAGATGCTAATATTTATTATCGATACAGAGATGCTAATATTTATTGATAGTGTCTCGATAAATTCAATCTATTTTGAATACTTTTATTTCTTAGGCCGGTTTATTTAAAAATTAACACACTTGGAAAGGGAAGAGTAAAAAGTTTAGGAAGATATTACCCAAAAATATTTAAGGAATCAAATTCATGATGGATTACTACTTCTCTTTAACTATATATATGCAACGTATCTTTAATTATATGTAGATATTTTTGATTTTACATATAGTTAAAAATAGGTT